CCATGCCGGCCCGTGCCGCCAGGCCCCACAATAACAAGAGTCTGCAAAATGAACTAGCAAATGAAAGGCAAAAGTAATGTAAGGTGACGAGAAAAGTGCACAGAAACATGACTGCAAGTTCAAAGAAACATGTCAACAACTTGACTGCCATCGTCGCAAGCATTCAGTCGGCCAACTCTGCAGACAACTGTTTTGGGTCTTCTCAACCGAGTCGCTGGAGGTCAAGAGACGACTCCGAATAACCTGCTGCGGCGGAGGTGCCCGAAGACTGGTCCTGGAACTGCCTCGCAGAAGACCATGCACACAAAGATTTGTCTCCATCCTGTAGCAGCCACTGTCCCCATCCTGCTGCCAACAGCAGCAGGGCATGGCGACGTGTCGAAGAAACCAGCATTCCAGGCAAACAGCACTGTTGGAAAAACATGTCGCCAGCCACCCTCGTGGCCACGCACAAGTGACTCGCCAAAGGCTAGCGCTCCCGACAAAGAAGCGCAGCGAAGGCTGGCCTGTAAAAGCCTCGCATAAGACCATTTATGCGAGGAGCTGTCCCCATCCTGTAGCAGTCACTGCTCCCATCCGGCTGCAGGCAGCAGCAGGTCGGTGTGACTTGTCAAAAACCAGCACTCCAGACAAGCAGCACTGTAGGAAAAATATGTCGCCAGCCATCCGTAAGGTCATACATCAAGTGACGCGCCAAGGTCCAGCGCTCCCGACAAAGCAACGCACGTGGAAAATACATGTAAGGGTGCATCACCGTGCGCAAGGCCCTGCAGGCATCCAGATCCTCAGAGCAGATCAGCGCCTCTCCCTGGATCTCCGGCGTTCACGGCCATCATCACGGGCCCTGCCACGGGCCGCTCCATCCTTGCCTTTGCCAGCAGCTTTGCCCTTGGCTCCATCGGTGCGCTTGCGCTTCCGCGTCATCTCGCCCTGAGAGAGCGGCTGCCAGATCTTGATCGAACAATTGTCTGCATTCGTAAGAGCTCGAAGGTGATGACGCACTAGCTGTGACATTCTCGTCGCTGACATACACGGCTTGTAGCGTAAGTCGACCGCAGTATGACGGCTCCAAGGAATTCCGGTGTTGAAGAGGCCCACGATGTCGTCAGTAGCAGAAAGGCACTCACGCAACTCGGCCCTGCACCGAACCTGGGCTCCCATATCCGTCATGGTGGACAAGATCGGATCCAGGTCCTCCAAAGCCAATGTGTACAGCTCGGCTTTCAGCTTCCAAAGAGGCTCCTTGTTCGCCAGCAGCTCCTGCGCCCTATTCTCCCAGGCGGACATGCCGGACCATCGCGCGCGAGTGACAGCAGTCCAATCCGAGAGAGCATCCTCCAGCTTTGACACTCGGTCCGTCAAGGCCTCCGCCATGGCTGACGAGGCTTCCGAGAAAAGGCTTGAGCTACCACCACCGTACTGTTCAAGAAGTTGCTGCCTTGCTAGCGACCGCTAGTGAGCATGGGCCTATGAACTCCAACTGGAGCTGAGCTCGGAGGCAGTTTCACTGCAACCCGACCCTGGGCTACAGCTGGCACCACCAGGAGCGAAGAGCCACATGTATGGCACTACTGCTGGACTTTTGACAATAATGCAATTGTTCTTCTCGTGTGGAACACCTGCAATTAAGGCAGGCCGTGCAGATGTCAGCTTCCGAGGCGTGCTATGCCCAGCACACTTGAGTCAGCTCCTGGCTTCGCACAACAGAAGAAACGTCCTGAAGCAATTGTTGCCGAGCCCTCGACTGGATCTGCCATGACCTCACCTCCAAGAAAAGAAGCAGAGTCCATGCCCTGTCAGGGATTTTCTTGTTTTTTAAGGGCTAGTCGACAGACTCAGCTGCACTCCAACGGTTCGGTGAGGGACAACAGGGCCAAAAGCTACAATGAGGTATGACGCTGACAGAACTGGCAGCAACATGTTAGCGGCAGGAGTACTGACCCTGAGCGCACCGCAAAAGACGTTCAAGGTAAATGCATTATGACCTCGGAAAATAGTCACTGTTGCCCAGCAACCTGTTCTGTCCGGATTCGACACATTTTTTTAGGGCTGGTAGCGAGAAACGATCACATCTTTCCAAAGACAAAAGATCCACTGGCCCCCACACCCGTAGAAGGAGGAAGGGTATCGACAGGGGGGAGAAACCGGCAAAAAGAAGAAACTGGCCCAAAAGGACGAATCGAAAGAGGACTGAAGTGGGGGAAGCGAGCGAATGAAAGAGGGAAAAACGGGCCGACCACGACAAATGCGAACGAAGAAATAACTGGCGGACTGGAGTCGGTGACAAGCACCCAAAACTGTCTCTTGCGCAGAACTCACACGTGAGGTTGGCTTCTTCTGAGCCCCTACAGAACGCCTCATGTGTCTCCATGGCCGCTATGGTTTGGAAGGTTTGTTGGCACTGGGAGCAGGTTCGATTCAGCTGTGCGCTACCTCTGCACATCTTCACACGGTGTTCTTTCGAGCCCGCGGTAAAATGTGCTTTACAAAGGTGAGAGTACCACGACGGACGTTCATCCGCAGTCTGCTCCGGTCTGCGCGAGCACTCAAGTCGACGTAGCAAGATGGCGGCATCCGTGGTGTCAAAACGAAGGTACGCTCACAAGACGGGCACGTCCAGGTGAGTTCAGCCGACCCCCTACAGATTCTCTCGTGGATGTTACGAAATTTCTCTGGCATGATGAGGTTGTTTACGTCGCCCCGATGCATATTGCCAAGCGAACTGTTTACCACAGTTGTGCCGACAGTGAATGAAGGTGCTCCCGGCACTTTACAGTGCGCCTCATGACCTGCCAGCGACGCGCGAAGGGCCGGAATAAACTTTCCCACATCTCCAACAACTGTCAGTAAGGATAGCCGGAGGGAGTTCCGGGACGTCACAAGGAAGTAACCAACGAGAGGACATAGAGGTACGGTGTCCTTGAGCACCAAGATTTGCCAGTTGGTCTGCGAGCTCATTTCCGGCAACCCCCGTATGAGCCCTCACATGAGTAAACGAAACGTCGCGTCTAACTCTTACCTTGGAGAGAATATCTCGGCACGTCAGTACTAACTTTGCGTTGGACTCTGGGGGTGTTGTGGATGTTAATGCACGAAACGCATATTCCGAGTCGTAGAAAATGGTAACAGGAATATCTGCTACTCCTGGAGCCTCATTTAACAACCAGAGGAGAGCCTCCGCCATGGCCGATAGTTCCCCAACGTTATTGGTGGCCCTTTCAGCACCCAGGAATCTCTTGTCCCATTGCTGCAGGGGAACAGGGCCGTATAGTTCACATTCCGGCGTGATACTGTCTGAACTTTGTTCCCAGATAGCGACTCCCCACCCGCATGTGGGACCTTTTCATGTGGCCCAGAGCCATCGACGAACATCAACCACCGTTCGAAGACGTCCGACCCAAAAAACGGCACGATGAGCTGACGAGTAAGGAGTGTATTTTAGAAGGACAGACATGCCGATGCACACCCCGTGCAAAAACGAAAAGTTGACGGCAAAGTGGACAACGAGAATGCCCCACGGTGATGAGAGTTTCATCATTAACCGGGTGTTGCCCATCATAGTGCACCTGCAACCCCCTGGCAGTTGTGGCCACAAAAGGGCAGGCAGGACACTGAAGGGGAGAAACGGGCGGGCAAGAAGCAGAAGGGCGACGAACCGCGTTTGTGCCGATACGTTTAACAGTTTAACCGCAAAGAAACCGGCCTGCACACAACGTTTGGTCTCCGCCCACTGATCAGCATTGTCTGT